AGAAAACATTTTATTTATAATGGGCAACCTCGAGGTCGCATTAACAAAGGGTACACAGTTAAAAGAAAACAGTGTTGAGTGCAATTGTTTTTCACCCAAAACAATGTCTATATTTAGCTAAGACATGACACATAAAATGCAAACTATAACAACTAAAACACTAATTTACATATTAAAAATCCCACGTCACTGTGGTCTAGTCCCTGGAAAGAGCGCCTGTTTTAATAAGCACAAAAAGAATAAAACTGGAAAAAGATCTTAAAATATGAATAATAACAATAATAATGATTATCTATCATTATTATTATGAAGAATATTATTATTATTATTATTTATCATTATCATTATTATTAATTATTGTTATTATTAGGCCTTGTTGGAACAGGGTTGGAACAGTGTCATTCCTCCACTCCAACTCAGTGGTTGATAAAATACTGGTGAGTTGGGTTGCCTTTGGTGCATGAACAGACGGATACTGATCTGTCACATTTTCGAAGATTTGTCAGTCTTTTGCTTAACCTAAAAAACGCCATTGTTTCGCTGCGGAACCAGGACACTTTCTATACAGCAATAACTTTTACTTTTTATTGCAGATGGATTTATGGATTATTGTTTCTTGTGGTCCACTGATGACTGCTGCCGTTGTGACTTGGGCAAGAACACTTAACCCCACTTTGTGCTGAAGCCCCTGCTGAAAGATCAAGGCCCCTGTGGGACTCAGCACCCTGCAGGAGGATCAGTGAGGGCCTGGGCACTGATGGACTGGGCGCTCAGACTGCCACCCCCCCCGACCCCGAAATTGATTAAGGGGAAAGAAAATGGATGGTATATTTCTTGTGGTCTGAGAATCTGGCACCCATCTTTAAATTAATCTGCTTTGTCGATAGAAAACCTGTTTGATTTTTTTTGTACACATACAAACACCATTATGCAAAAACTATATCTAAAAACGTTTAAACTGATAACAAAAACAAAGAAGTAAATTAAGACCTTTTGAGTCCATTCTGCTCCCGCCACCCACAGACATTTTGAAGGATATTTGATCCTAAAACACACAATTATAGAGTCATATTTATAAGTCTTGTATAAAGTTAAAATTGTTTCTCCTTACCTGGAGGATTGGCCGAGATTACCTGCAAATAAAACCACATTTTTATATTTTTAACGTTCATGATAGATCTTGGTCATTAATTAATCTTTATGTTTTTACATTTGAGTAGTTTTATCACCAGATAAGAGGCCGCTGCTATTTCCATAGCAACGCACTGTTTAGTTAGCAGGAGTTAAGCATTTAGCCTTCATCTGTTTTTACAAGTTATATCACCAGTTTTAGCACTTAGTAAAAGAGTGACAAACAATCAAAACAAAACATTATCAGGGTAAATACTCAGATTTCCATCGGTTTAAAAGGTAGCAGTAAAATGCGGCTCAGAGTTGTAATAAAATTCCTAAACATAATGAGATTTCAAAAGTGTATAAATAGTTTATTTACAATAGTCTAGTAAAGTGATGTTAGTAAGTGTATTTAGTATAGTGATGTTATATCAGTGTAGTGTAGAGGTATATAGTATAGTCATAGTATATATAATTGTAGTGTAGTGTAGTATAGTGTATGTTAGTGTAGTATAGTGTAGTATACGTATAGTATCAGTAAAGTAGAGTATAGTGTAGTAAGTATAGTATATAAAAAAGTTGAGTATATGTGAAGTATAGTATAGTATAGTAAAGTAGAGAAAGTCTAGTATAGTATAGTGTAGTATAGTGTAGTGGTATGTAGTATAGTGAAGAATAGTATAGTATAAGTATAGTGTAGTGGGTAGTGTAGTATAGTGGAAGTCTAGTTCCTAGTAATAGTATAGTATAGTAATCAGTGAAGTGTATATAGTATAGTATATCAGTTCCGTAGAGTATAGTTATAAAGTATAGTAATAAAGTAAGTATAGTGGAGTAAAGTAATATTAGAGTCTAGTGTAGTGTCAGTTATATATATAGGTGTAGTATAGTATAAGTATAAGTGTAGTATAGTATAGTATAAGTATATAAAGAAAGTAAATAGAGTATAAGTGTAGTATAGTTTAGTATAGTTAAGTAGTGTATAGTTAGTATACGTATAGTATAGTATAAGTGTATATAGTATAGTATAGATACAGAGTAGTATAGTATAAGTATAGAATAGTGTAAGTTGTAGTATAGTATAGTACAGAGTAGTAATAGTATATGTATAGTGTAAGTGTAGTAAACTATACTATACCTACACTAAACTATAACTATACTACACTACACTAACTATAACTAAACAACACTGTTACTATACTATTACTACACTACACTATACTATACTATACTAAAACAACAACTGTTCTAATAATAATACTTATATCTACACTATACTATACTATACTATACTACACTATACTCTACTTTACCTATACTAAACTAAACTACTCTAAACTCTACTTTACTATACAATACAATAACTAGATACTATTACTAAACTACACTATAACTATACTAATACTACACTAGTACAATACAACACTACACAACACTAGACTATACTATACTATACTACACAATACTCTACTTTACTAACTATTTACTAAAAAATACTACACAATACTCTAAACTTAACTATACTATACTATACTACACACACTAATACTATACTATACTATACTAGACTAGACACACAATACTACACTACACTACACTATACTAATACATACTATACTACACTATACCTACACTACACTACACATACTACACTATACAAATACTAAGACTATACTCTATCTATTACTAAAACTGATACTATACTACACTTACTCTACCTTTACTATACAATACTAATACTACACTATAACTCTACTTTACTATACTATACTAGACTACACGCTATACTCACTACACTAACACGTATACTACACTACACTTCACTATACTAATACTATACTATAACTATACTACACTACACTACACTATAACTAACATCACTATACTATCTGACACTATACTAACATCACTATACTAGACTATAGTAACTAAACTATATAACTTTTGAAATCTCAATTATGGATATGAATTATATTACTACTCTGAGCCGGCCATTTTCACTGCTCCCTTTTAAACCTGATGAAATCTGAGTAATTACCCCTGAACATGGTTTTTTGTTTTGAATTGATTGTCATCACTTTTACTAAGTGCTAAAAACTGGTGAATTATAACTTGAAAAACAGATGAAAGGCTAAATGCTACTCCTGCTAACTAAAACAGTGCGTGCTATGAAACTAGCAGCGGCTCATATCTGGGAGATAAAACTACTCCAAATGTAAAACATAAAGAATTAAAATAATGACCAAGAACTATCATGAACATCGGGTCCAGAGCCAGGGTTAGGGTTAGGGTTAGGTCTAACATCGTATTTCTAAACATACGGTGAAAATAGTTATTTAAGACGGGATCCTCGAGCTAATCTGCCAGCACTACTTTGGGCTCATAAAGTGCTAAAATAAGGCAACATCGGACATGTACCGGTGACGGGGACGTGTTTACAAAGCGATGGAACCAGTCCGGACTCTGGAACTCAGGTGTCCGACTCAGGATCATATCTCCGGTTAGCCAAAACATCGAAGTTTGTCTTTTCAGCAGCACAAAAATAACACTGTCAATATCATATGTAATGTTCAAAAGCGAAGAGATGTAACTTTCATTTTATGCTCGCATTGTTACTGACATGCTGGAAAATACTGGAATGTCCTTAAGTTCTTTGTTCAACACCGGCAAAAATCATTTACACAAATGTTCTCCTTCCAGCGTGAATACACTTGAGTAACAACCATAGACTGTATAATGACATGGACAACCAAAATAAACAATATTTGTCGCGTGACATATGTCAATAGGCTGCTCTGGTTGGCTGTTAGACTATCCAATAGAGCGAAGAGGGAGTGTGTTTCTTGGTTCAGGTAGAGCCCGCCCCATAATAGTTTTTCAATTGAGGAATGCCAGACCAACCTGCCAGCTGAAATTCCATGGAGGTGGGGCAAAAGGTTGGCTGGAGCCAGGCTACCTCTGCCCCTGATATCTGCTATATTTGTTGGTTGCATCCAATTCTTTAGTTTCTTGCCACAATGCTCTCCGCTACATCCGGTGGGCACATCCTAAATGCTCTAGCAAACTGGCCTGGGCCTGGACATGTCTAATAATTGCTACATTGCTCTTTAAAAATCCTACAATGTGATTTTTTTTAACATTCTGTCTCTCACAGTTGAAGTGTACCTATGATGAAAATTACAGACCTGTCATTATTTTTAGTGGGAGAACTTGCACAATCGGTGGCTTTTTTAGGGTTTGGAGTAAAACATTTAGTCAGACACTTGAATGGAATTTGCCTCAACAGGATGTTTTTTGGACACTTTCACCTCACATCAGTCCCTATCAGCTCCTGTATCACTGTAATAATAAAAGTTGCTTGAATCGAGTGGTTTTTATCGTAGCTTGAGTAATACCGATGGGACAAGACATTTAGTCTTACTACAAGAACTGTTGCTCTATTTTCTCATTCCTAAGAAGACTTTTCTTTTATTGTTTTAAAACAAGATAATTTTGCTTGTCCCATTTGCAAATCTTGTTTTATGGAAGTCAAAACATTTTTGGCTTGTTTATCATCAATTTCTGCAGTGATTAAACCTGAACTAAACAAGTCTTCATGTAGTTCCAATGCGTCAAAGTGGGATTGTAATCCTCCACCTTGACCTTTAGAAGAAATAAGTGAATCTATTTTCAAATAAAACAGACAGAATCTATCGGTTCAATAAATCTTTATTTAAAATCTCTGAACAATGAAAGGCTAAAGTACAGTGAAATAAAGCACTGTCTGAAACATGAAAGTGTACCAATAAAGACGGGTTTGGACAGCGGGGTTTGGACAGCGGGGTTTGGACAGCGGGGTTTGGACAGCGGGGTTTGGACAGCGGGGTTTGGACAGCGGGGTTTGGACATCAGGGTTTGGACAGCGGGGTTTGGACAGCAGGGTTTGGACAGCGGGGTTTGGACATCAGGGTTTGGACAGCGGGGTTTGGACATCGGGGTTTGGGACAGCGGGGGTTTGGACAGCGGGGTTTGGACATCGGGGTTTGGACAGCGGGGTTTGGACAGCGGGGTTTGGAGAGCAGGGTTTGGACATCGGGGTTTGGACATCGGGGTTTGGACATCAGGGTTTGGACAGCGGGGTTTGGACAGCAGGGTACTTGGACATCGGGGTTTGGACAGCGGGGTTTGGACATCGGGGTTTGGACATCGGGGTTTGTACAGCGGGGTTTGGACATCGGGGTTTGGACATCGGGGTTTGGACATCGGGGTTTGGACATCGGGGTTTGGACAGCGGGGTTTGGACATCGGGGTTTGGACATCGGGGTTTGTACAGCGGGGTTTGGACAGCAGGGTTTGGACAGCGGGGTTTGGACAGCGGGGTTTGGACAGCAGGGTTTGGACAGCGGGGTTTGGACATCAGGGTTTGGACAGCGGGGTTTGGACAGCGGGGTTTGGACAGCAGGGTTTGGACAGCGGGGTTTGGACAGCGGGGTTTGGACAGCGGGGTTTGGACAGCGGGGTTCGGACAGCGGGGTTTGGACAGCGGGGTTTTGGACAGCGGGGTTTGGTGACAGCAGGGTTTGGACAGCAGGGTTTGAGACAGCAGGGTTTGGACAGCAGGGTTTTGGACACAGACAGGGTTTGGACACCGGGGTTTTGGACAGCGGGGTTTGGACAGCGGGGTTTGGACAGCGGGGTTTGGACAGCAGGGTTTGGACAGCAGGGTTTGGACAGCAGGGTTTGGACAGCAGGGTTTGGACAGCAGGGTTTGGACACCGGGGTTTGGACAGCGGGGTTTGGACAGCGGGGTTTGGACAGCGGGGTTTGGACATCGGGGTTTGGACAGCGGGGTTTGGACAGCGGGGTTCGGACAGCGGGGTTTGGACAGCGGGGTTTGGACAGCGGGGTTTGGACAGCGGGGTTTGGACAGCAGGGTTTTGGACACCGGGGTTTGGACAGCAGGGTTTGGACAGCAGGGTTTGGACAGCAGGGTTTGGACAGCAGGGTTTGGACAGCGGGGTTTGGACAGCGGGGTTTGGACAGCAGGGTTTGGACAGCGGGGTTTGGACATCAGGTTGGGAGTAGCAGGTTTGGTGTCTTTTGAGCTTTTGAAACATCTCCTCTGGTTGGTCATTCCTGACGTCCGTTAATAGCCATTACTTTTCATCCATAAAAAAATGTCCCTGACAGCCTTGATTACTGCTCCTCCAGAAATCTCGTTTTTACCAATGCCAATTATGAAAACTGCAAAGAAAGACTTGGTTAAAACTGGTTCAGTCCATTCTATTCCCCAGCTCTTCTTCTAATAATAATAATAATTCATTGGTTTTATGTAGTGCTTTTTTGGACACTCAAAGATTCTTTACAAACCATTCACACACACACACACCAGACTCATTCTGGGCAATGTGGATGAAGTGTCTTGCCTAAGGACACAACAACTGTGGCATTTTAAAGCCTCAGCCACCTCCACTTTGGCACAGAGCTTCAGGGCTCTGACATAATCAGGCTTTCACATGCAGGTATGTCCATTCTCTCAGGTTTCCTTCAGTCATGTCCAATATAAAGAGATCTTATTTACTCTTTGGTCTTGAAGATGCAGCCGTTGTAGCACTTGCCCCCGTCTACACCTAAGAGAGTCTTTACAGCCATGTGCGGGTCATCATCGTCACTTAGTTGGTCTTGCAGCACGATGTATTTGACTCCTGCCAAATACACAATATCACCGGAAGATTTTGCTTCTCCATCATTGAGCTTCATCACCTCTTCCACCTGCAAACACTCCAATTTAAACTACTGCTACTATTGGTGCAAAAGTAGCAGCAGCAGTAGCATTCTTACACTAATTTCGAAGTCTGGTGATTTGGCCCAGACTGATCCGTCCAAACTGCAAATTGCAGCTTCTTTACATTGGCCATCTTCTCCTGTTAGTTTATCGAGGACCAGGCTCAAGGTTATCCTGTTTCAGCCGTAAAAGTGCAATCAGTAAGTCACATTTGTAGGATAAATTAAAATGACCTCTTTCCTCAATCAAAGACATTTTGTTGTATATTGAGACATATTATAACTTCCGTCTCCACTGTGTGTAAATCCTTGTGGTTCAGGTTTTATTGTGGGCAAGAATGTCTTAAGATAAGTGCCATGGCAACACCCTTCCCCCAACGACTCTACAACAAGGGAAGACAAACCAGTCTGTTTTGGAACCACGGAGTGACCAGACCTCCCTGGGCTCTGCCCTGGGCTCTGCTCAGGCAACCAAGGGGCTTTGGGCCTCTTAGATGGCCTCAAACCTCAGCTCCACGTTTGAGAGGACTTCCACAACCCTTCAATAGCCTCCAGCTTCAACCTGAAGAAGTTGCTGAGTTTTGGCACCTAGACTGTGGATCGTGGGAGGAGCACATGATGCAGCCGCATGGTCCAGGCCCTGGGGACAAGAAGCCTCCATCCAACGCCATCAAGACCCAAGGACTGCTATTCACCCAAGGCTATTCTGGTTGTATGATCTGCTCTCTTGCTACACACAGCTGTTGGCTTTATTAAAACCTATACTTCAAAGAATACTTCTCCTACCAAGGCTGAACACATGCAGGCCTCAGCCTATACCAATCCATTCATAGACAAAGGTCTTGCTTAGCTCACTTTAGCCTAGCATTTTAACAATGTATCTTGAAATCAACGTTTCCTTCATGTTATTCTTGACAATTTGCATATTTCATATCTAGTCTGTATTGTGTATACTTAATTAAATCTACAAAACCATCTTTGTCTGAAAGTGATATTTGTACTTTTAACTCCAGAAATTGGGTCACTGATTTGTAAAAGAATTCACTACCTTCAGATTATTTTGAAGAGAATTGGACTAATTAGCTAATTAAATAATGAAAGGACTCATGAGATTACTTAATCAATAAATGAGCCAATTAATTGATATTGTGACGTCATATGCACGTTATCAGTTGGGAGTTATTCCCTGGTGCCCCTAAATAAAGCTATTATCAATTATTGTATTTATTACATGGTTGTTTTTATCCAATTCTCCGATATCAGGTACATAACTTAAGTTATGTGTGATATCGACATTTTCTCACCCTACACATTCATGTTGAAGGAGATTTGAACCAATCAAAATAAACTCAAAAAGACAGATTTTTTTCATTGCGTAAAGGCGGTTCTGGAGATGCCGCTTGTCCGGACGGTACGGCGGCTGCTGGGTACGTTTTTGACAACTGGCAGAAATGGCACCCCATCTGTCTGTCGGGACTGTCCATCGAGGACATTGAGGATAAATACATTTTTGGATTTATGGTAGCAGGGTTCGTTTTGATTGGATTTGGAGTTGGCCTGATCTACCGCAAAGTCGGAGGAATGTCCACTCAGAAGATTTACGAGCGGCTTTCAGCGGAAAGCCGCGGCACAGACTGAACATTCCCTTAGAGACCTGGGAGTGAGGTCTATGGAAGGACATAAGCGTTTGGAAGGATTGATTGAAGGACTTGGGCCTAATGGCGAACACTCGCACTGACGTGGTCAACTCTGGATAACGGTGAACAGAGGGATCCAGTTCCAGTTAATCTGGACTTATTTGGTGTTAAAGTTTACACTGCCTTTGATTTGACCAGCTAAAGTGCTTTACAAATTCCCACAAGGCATATGTGTTGTTTTGTCTCCCACGTCCGCAGGCGTCCTCCAGATTCCACCACACAGCCGGCCTTTCAAGGCCGAAGAAGATGGACTCTCTCTCTCTCTCATAACTCATAGACATCAGTCACCAGTTGGTTGGTTCACCCCTCCCTCTAAATGTCTGCCTCCCTCTCTCTTTCTGTCTATGGTAGTATTCCCCTCCACCTCCCCCACCCACACTCCCCTCTGACACTCCATGTTGGACCAGGTCCCTTAAAAAAGATCCGTATGCTTTCCCAGCATGCACTGTGTCTCTCCAATATTGTCTGTTGAAATATATGTTTGTTTTGCTTTCTGCTGTTGAATAACTGTCATAAGGAGCGCGGATATGTTGTCCACAGCCGGTCTTGATGTTTATTCATCAAACTGAATTTATCCATCTGTGAGACAATAAAGGATTGATTGATTGATTGATTTTGATTTGATTAAAACAGCTTCAGACTAGAGGTACTCTGTGGTACTGCACCCAGACCGGATCATGCGTTGCAGCCACTTTCAATGTAAAGTCAATGGTGACGTGCGTTCGAGCACGGGACGCACGCACGCACTGCGCGGTAGAGGCATGGCAGAGACGCAGGAGCGGAAAATTGACGCACACAGGAGATAAACATTTCTGAACTTTTTTCTTGGGACGCACATGCAGCAATCAATCAGAGAGCAGTGGTCGCGGGGACACAGTGAGCGAACTGAAAATACTCTCAAACAGCCAAAACAGGAGATAACTAGAACTAAACTAGGACTAAACCAGGACTGACAATGGGGGACACAGTGCTTGTGAACATAAGCCTCCAGCTTGAGTTCTCATTCTCGAGTGACTATAAACTAGTGCATCTAGCGTGTTCACTGATGAAGAAGTACTGTTTAAAAGGAACCTAATCTTATTTTGTTGGTATATTGTGGTCTTTTTTTGTGTTAAATAAAACTCATTTTGACAGATAGTTTCACCCTTAGTAGTTTCTATCAATAATTATCCTGCAAAAAGAAATTTGCGTAAAAAAAAATTCTATGACGTCAGTTGGTGTGTGAATATTTAATTAGATAGAGTTTTTTTTCCCATTTTCCATTATCAACCCGACAAACAGCTGAGGCAATATATCTCGTCAAGGCAGTGCAAACCGTCGTTACACCGGTGCTTCTGTAGCGGCACTTTTACAGTCATAGAAGAAACTCAGGTAATTGCACTGACCCCCGTCCTCAGCCCTGGTTTAGTCCTGGTTTAGCTCCTGTTTTGGTTGTTTGAGCCTGAGTCCCTGTGATCACTTTGCTAATGTGGAAGATGTTCACTGCTGCGAACCGCTCACAGCAGTGAAGTAGTAATTAGTCATCTTTATTTATATACCGCCTTTTCACTGCATGTCAGAGTCTTAAAGCAGTTTACAATTGTGATTTTTGGGAGCGGAGTCACCAGTTCAGGAGGCACATGCCAGACCTATTGTACATATTTTTAGTGGTAGGGGAAACCGGAGCACCCGGTGGAAACCTACGCAGACACAGGGAGAACATGCAAACTCCACTCAGAAAGGCCCTGGTCCAACCGGGATTCGAACCCAGGACCTTCTTGCTGAGAGGCGAGAGTGCTATCCACTCAGCCACCGTGAACAGTTTATAAGGCAGTAAGATCCCTCTTCAGTGATCAGAGGTCGCATGTTTTGTTTGTTGTTGTTTTGGTGCATACTGTGACGTGCGAAAACGCAAAACTCCGGTACATTAGTTTATGATGCGTTGTCATGTGGATGACAGGTGCAAATGAAGAAAAATATTGCGGTTTAGCATCCTCGGCATAAACACCTCCCGTTTTTAGCAAGAGATGAAACAAATGCTGTGTTTGATAAGTGAAATGAACTTTGTGCCGATGACGTGGAGGAGTATGCAGCTATTGCAGAGGACATGGGTGAGGAAGAGGTCGAGGAGCTTGGTGCTACAGGAGGAGTCGATGATGATGCTATGACAGCTGGGCCATCCAGTGCAATTAGTATGCTACTGGGAGACGATTATAGCGTAGCCGATACCACGGCTCCACAGGCGGAAGTGGATGCGTATATTAAAGATCCTTGCCCCTCACTAGAGAGCGATCCGCTTGATTGGTGGAGGGAAAACCAGACGCGGTTTCCTAGGCTGGCTAGAGTGACACACCGCTACCTGTGCATCCCCGGGACTTCTGTTCCATCGTAAAGGGTTATCTCTGCTGCTGGCCTTGTGGTCAATAGACTGCGTACCCGCTTGACCCCAGAGCACGTTGATATGCTTATTTTTTTAAATAAAAATAACTAACTGTCTCACTGAGTCAGAGTGTAGCAGGGCGATATGTTATGTTATGTTCTGAAGAGTAGTTAAGGCGTCTTTTACGCATTAAATATTGTTTGTGTTATCTCAATGAGATGTTTGTTCTATATTTTTTTGTTATTCCCTAGGCCATGTTGGCAATTGTCTATGTTTATGATTTGAGATGTTACTTAAGTCGCTTTGAAAAATACAGACAGTATTTTAATTATACATACAAACATGTTTGGTCCCATCCATCCATCTTCTTCCCTTTAATCCATTTCTGGGTCAGGGGGATGGCAATCAGAGATGCCACCCAAGTCTCATAGCACCAGCCCCTCACTGACCCTCTGCAGGTGGTCATGATTCCGAAATGAATGCTTTCAATCTCTAACAAAGAAAAAAAAACAAGTTTCAACCCAGTGTTCAGCAGAAACACAACTGTCTTTATCGAACCATGATTCACTCTGACTGTGTTTAATAAAAGATATAGATTTGACACATAACATCAGCCCCACGTTAGCTAATTTAGAACCACAGACACATGTTCAGTATAAGACCAGATACTTTCGCATTTGATTGAGGACAGACACTCACCAGGCAGAGTTGGCTCATCTCCTGGTGTAACGCTAGCTGGTGTTAGCTGGTTTTAGCATGTTAGCCGGTGTTAGCCGATGTCCGTAAATGTAATCCATTTGGTCAAACCACCTCCAGACTTTTCGGTTCTGCCTCTACTTCTGCTGCTGTGATCTTTCATTTCACGGTTGTCACTTTTAAGCTTTTTAACTTTTCTCTGCATTGTCATGTTCGTGGGAATCATTCTGCTACGT